CAGTAGTTGTAGGGTAGTGCTTAAGAATCCACCAGCCAGGATCTTTATTAGAAGGAACTGAGGTCTAACAGGATAATCATATTTCACTGTTAGTACAGAGGTCTAAATAATTTGGCATTTACCCTCAAACCTCATGCTTCAAATACTCCATATTTAAATCTAATAAAGTTTATATTTTCATTAAATTGTTTAATAACGCTTATGAAAGACGGGACATCTTAATGTAAGTCGTGTAGAAGGATTGAGTGAATCAACGCTCTGTGAGTTAAGAATAGTACATAACATTTATGTCCAGTGTGTCGGTTGCTAATACACTTGGATAACCTGCTGTGGATTTCTTCACTGTAATCATCGTCTGAGATAGACTAAACTGGCAGGTTATGCAAACTGGGTCAACCTGGTTAGTAATAAGGTCAAATTGGGGTCAGATGGGATCAAAAGTGACAGGTGTGAAATTAAGGTTACAACTGACTTAGGTAGGAACTATAAACACACAAGTGTTGAAATAAACCAGGAACACAGTATCCAAACTAACCTGTCATATGATACATTTTGGGCAATTTCCTATCTACCACAGCAAATCTAGGGCAGCGGAGATTTGCACAAGATAGTGCTATATACACAAATCTCTGCATGCAATTTCCTTATCAAATATATGCCAAGTGAAAGCAGGAGTAGCAGAGATTTGTTCGAGGTCACGCTGTTTAAACAAAATTTAGATTCTGTTCCAAAACTGTCAGTTTAGTGATGTAATGAAAATTGCCTGAAAACCTCCCAGGAGATGTATGTAATGTCAATATCAAGACAAAATAAAACTCGGCAAACCTCTGAAATGATAAAGAATATAAACAAGCTCCCACAACGCTGATAAACCTCTAACAACACAAACCTCTTCCAACGCAAACCTTTTACAACTCAGACAATTATCTTACAACACAGACAAACCTCTTACAACACAGACGAAACATCTTACAACACAGTCAAACCTCTTACAACTCAGACAATTATCTTACAATTCAGACAAACCTCTTACAACTCAGACGAAACAACTTACAACACAGACAAACCTCTTACACCACTGACAAACCTGTTACAACACAGAAAAACCCTCTTATAAAAACAGAAAACCCTCTTACAACACACCCAAAACTCTTACAACACAAAACTCCAACAACACTAACAACCCTCTTACAACACACACAAAACTTTAACAACACTAACAACCCTCTTACAACACAGACAAACCTCTAACAACACTAACAACCCTCTTACAACATAGACAAAACTTCACACAACACAGACAAACCTCTTACAACACAGAAATTTCCACAACACAATCAAAAGTGTATAAGTATAATTCTTCTGATACAAACAGTTTAGGCTCTTACAGATATCAACTATTTGATTTACTAGTTCAAGAAACCAATGCATGGCAAGTTTCTTAAGTCATTAAAGTAAGGCCTATCTCGCATAAAGATATCAACCTTCCAATGTCGTTTTTTTGCCAACAGTTTACTATTAGTCAAATGAATCATATCTCCAGATTTTTTGCTTATTCCAAAACAAATAGGAACCTTGGAAATATTTCTATCTTTCTGCCCAATTAGGATATAAAATATCAAACTACAGAGCCCTTGAAGACATGGTAAAGTGGTAAAATATAACAAGCTACAATCCATTCCAAAATATATCTCAACATGTGCTAATGGTACCCATGGCTAGTTAAATCTCTAGACAACCAAACCTAATGGCTTATGGTCTTTGTCATCAATTCCTTTATATACCAGTTTTCATATTCATATTACTTTTAGTGGCGAAATAGGTTCCAGTCTGTACACTAACTTCACACTCTTGATCTAATACAACAGTTACAGGCTAAACAGATCGAACAATAGTTCATGCAATAATTACAATCATTTACTATATATACATTAAACCATAAATATTTATATTTGCTATGCACCCTTCCATTGCAATGCATTGAGAAAGCAAATGTTGTTATGAGACTATAACAACATTGTTACTGTAATGTCATCAATCCTATTGTTGTCAAGACTTAATTTGCTATTCAAAGCTGCTGGGTTTTATTAAGATTGTCATCAATAGATTGGGGGCTCTCACTCTTACGTCGATTAACATAATCGTTCCATTTTGGCTTTAAATTCTTTGGGAATTTTACCCCCAATCTCTTAAATAGATTATTACTTCACTTTATCTGTAGCCAGTTTTCTCATGGTAAATCTAACAGATATATTCTCTGGGGTGGCTATGAGTCTAGTCGCTTCTCTGGATTCCTCCAGAGTCTAGTGACTTCTCTTGCCTTCTTCGGAGTCTAGCGTTTCCAATTCATAGTCTTTTATAGCTTCTCCATGGATATTAGGAGTCTAGTCGCTTCTCTGAAGTCGTTCAGAGTCTAGCTGCTTCTCTTGTTTTCTTTGGAGTCTAGCTCGCGTTCTTTATCAAGTTTCTCTGCGTTATAGCTTCTCCATGGATATTAGGAGTCTAGTCGCTTCTCTGGAGTCGTTCAGAGTCTAGCTGCTTCTCTTGTTTTCTTTGGAGTCTAGCTCGCGTTCTTTATCAAGTTTCTCTGCGTTATAGCTTCTCCATGGAAATTAGGAGTCTAGTCGCTTCTCTGGAGTCGTTCAGAGTCTAGCTGCTTCTCTTGTTTTCTTTGGAGTCTAGCTCGCGTTCTTTATCAAGTTTCTCTGTGACTTCGCAGAGTCTAGCTTCCTTTAAAATCTTTTGAAAAGAATTTGTTACTATTAGTAGGTTTGTTATAGAGTGAGTAGCCCCTGATACGCCAAATGTTTGCAGTAGGTTTTAGTACTTGTTCTTTGCTTGCACATACATATCTGTGTCTTAACTCAAGTAATAAACAGGTTAACTCTTTCATTGTGTGAAGTTATGTATAAAACAACATTTGCTAAAACATTCATTACTTAAATATTTACCATCGTATGGCATTGCCACTATATAACCCTACCAATTTCAGTTGGCATTCATATAGGCTGTCCCTGCTGGTAGGGTGTAAGAATTGTACCTGCTGCCCCCATTGCATGATCGTAAGAGGCGATTAAATTTGGGATCTTATCTTTTCTCTTCTTTTTATACAACTTTCTTCTTCCTAATGTCTCCCTTGACAATACCTCACTTTTGGCCTTTAGTTGAGCGTTTGCCCCTGTGAGGAAGGCTTTGGGTTCTATCCCCTTGGCGAGACATACCAGAGTCTGTAAAAATGGTAGTTTCTTCTCCTGCTTAACCTCAGCAATTTAGGAGTGGGACGACTGGTTCGCCCGTTGTCAGTATAATGTGACCAGGTGGGGTGTCCTGCTGGGTGTCTTTGGCAGTATGTTTCAGTGAGGTAACACTATAAAGTTGGCATCAGTTTCGCGCTATCAAAAGGAGACAAACATGAACATATCGCAGCCTCCCAAAACACACACACATACACTACAAGCATGCATCTTGCACACAGGGGAGGCCGTCCTTAAATGACCATAGCTGTTGATAGGACCTTAAACAATACTAAACCAAACCAAATCATATAGGCTATGAATGCCATGGAACGATTATTGGCGTCATAATTGTTACGATGGATACCACTGACCTTCCCCGGGCGATGGCTGTTCTATTCATTGAACACGCATACACAATGCATACATTAACTAAATAAATGCTGAATAATAATATGTGTAATAATATATTAGATGAACAGATTCAAAAATGGTAAATATAGGTATATTGAACTGCTTTCAGTTGGCATTTATAGGTAATATGAATTCCAACTGGACAAAGGCAAATCCAACATGAAGTGCTAGCATGCTTTCTTAAAGTTGCCTTTGTCCAGTTGGCATTCATATTGCCTATAATGCCAACTGAGAGCAGTTCAATGCTTAAATGAGATGTCTACCATGTTGATGTTATGTCAGTACACTGACCTATCACACGTACTTCTTTCATTACCTATGAAACCTTCTAGACTCACTTCATAAATCTCATAAGTTAGAGAAGCCATTTAATAATCTATATATTGGAAAAATAAACAATCTGATGGGCTACTCATGTACATCTAACATTAACAGATCAGCGGAAAGCCTTCATTATTATAAAATTGCCTTTATAACCTTGATTTATCTTTAAAGAGGACAATGAAGAACAAAGCCATATCTAATATGTCTATTTCAAAAGGGGTTTATAGGTTTCCTATAAGGAAACGTGAAAGTGATAGTGCTTCACAATTCCTCGAATTGATAGTGAAAATAGTGGTTGTAAATCTATAACAGGAATTGTCAAACAGAAAGTAGGATCTGAGTTTTACAAAATCACAGGTGTAAACATAGATTGGTGACAAGTTTGTATTTATAGTAAACAAACAGGACATATCTCCAATATTGTAATTTTAGGATCTGCTGTTTGAAGCAGAACACTGATAGGATAACAAAGAATTACAAATAATGTATGCCAACTATAATGGAGAAGTAGAAAACTCAATTAACAAATACATTGGAGTACTTTCAATACTAAGAATATCTTCCAGGGCTTATAGACCTAACAGTAAAATTCCAGAGGGAGGGGGGAGGCTAGTCCTTAGATACATATAGAGTGAATTTCCAGGGTGCCTGTTCCATTGAAACTGAATAAAATGCCAAGGGGCATGGATGAAATTAGTTGGGGGGAGGGGGGTTGTTTAAGTCTTACAAACGGAGTAAAATTTCAGAAAGGGTGATTTGATATATACCATAATACCATTTCAGAGATTACCATCATTTCTAAATTGTAAAGACATGTGTCTGCATATTTACCAGTGTACCTATGGTATACAGGTGTCTGTATACTTAACAGAGTAAATACGGTACAACAAATGTCTGTATACTTATCAGAGTAAATACTGTACAACAAATGTCTGTATACTTATCAGAGTAAATAAAGTACAACAAATGTCTGTATACTTATCGGAGTAAATACGGTACAACAAATGTTTGTATACTTATCAGAGTAAATACGCTACAACAAATGTCTGTATACTTAGGATGGTCTACAATGATCCTACAGCTATTGACATGTAATCACTAGCTGCATTCGTATCTGACATGTCCTGGTAAGTAAGAGGTTTGACCAGTTTTTAACTATCCTTGTGTCATCATCAGTATCTTATCAGCATCATATTATACTACTAAGATAATGTATTAAATGATTCTTATAATCATTCCCTACCATTAGAGCATGACAGAAACATTTCAACTTGAAGGGTGATATTCTTTATTGCCTAACCTGAGGCTTGCTTCAGGATTTGGGGTAATGATGGACAATCAAAACTTTACCCCTGGGGTTGATATTTCTCCTGCATACCCTGAATGTAGGGAAGGATTCTTTTTCTCTTATTCTGTCAATGATATATTTGAAAATATTAGTTTAAAAATATGTAATCAAAAACTTATTGTGACGTCATAATAAAATGTTTCCCTAACATCATCATATTGTTTTTTTCAGTGTCATCTGTCATACCCTCGGGATGACAAAGAGATGTTGAACAGGTAAGAAGGGATTCAGTGAAAGGTGGACCTGTGTCCTTATGACTGTCTTATCAGCAACATATATTATCACTGAGATATTGTATTCAATGATACCTGTGTCATCATCACTGTCTTATCAACAACATATATTATTACAAAGATATTGTATATCATGATACCTGTGTCCTTATCACTGTCTTATCAGCAACATATATTATCACCGAGATATTGTATTTAATGATACCAGTGTGTCCTTATCACTGTCTTATCAGCAACATATATTATCACCGAGATATTGTATTTAATGATACCTGTGTCCTTATCACTGTCTTATCAGCAACATATATTATCACCAATATATTTTATTTAATGATACCTGTGTCATTATGATATCATTTCATCAAAATAATAATATTTACATATTAAAAGTATTAATGTATATAAATTGTTTTCAGTAGTAACTGTTTAATTTAGGTAGAGAAAGATTATGTACTGGTTATCCGTGGTACTCTGTAGCAGGAAACCTCTCTCCTCTATAGGATATTAGGATAACAAGGAAATGTTAAGCTTAAGGTTGGGGTGTTTTATTGAAGACCACTTACATAATCTTAAATCAGATAGTATACATTCATAAGTGAACATCTTATGTAAAATGTTATCAAGAAATCTTCAAAATGTACCACTGGATAAAATGCTTGTTGGGCTGTTATAGACCACATTGTATGTGTGGGTTTGCATATCAGAAGTGAAACTCAATAGTAGGTTTTATAGTACAGATAATGGTAACGAGATCAGCTGTTGTAATAGGATAGGGAATATTTTATGATAGGTGAATTTCTGTGCACTTATTACTGTAAAACCTAAAGTCACTTATATGTGAGAATTCAAATTTCCCAATGAGCTCATATCCCTCGTTTAAATAACAGTGCATAAACACCCACTGCATGTTCCAATAGACTATCAACTCTCAATGCAACTTATGTGAAAGATATTTATCTGGTGTGATTTCAGTGCATAGGGATTTATTGTGTTGGGTTTATCACTGTAATACTGTGCAACTCTATTTCCAAGTAAAAATAATTTCCATTGTTTGAATTTCGAAATCTCTATCATAGAAAGATGCAGAGGGGAACATCTCAGGGACATCCCCCCACCCCCCTAAACTAACCCAGTCACCTGGTCAGTAAAATAGGGTACATCTCAGGGACATCCCCCACCCCCCTAAACTAACTCAGTCACCTGGTCAGTAAAATAGGGTACATCTCAGGGACATCCCC